ATTTTTTTTTTTTTTTTTTTTCGCTCGATGGTGTTATACAATATTTGTGAGGGCTTTGTTTTCGATGTGCAACGATATTGTCACTGTTTGCACATACGATTTTTTTTTTGTTTAACGGAACATCTTTTGAAAATTGGTTTTTCAATGGGTTTTTGTCTTCGTTAACAGGTGAAGGATGTCATTTGAGAGGTCATCCGCGCGGTGGGACACATGACAAATTACTCAAAAACCCGCGTGGCATGTGCAAACACTCGACTTATTGTGTCAATGTCAGGTAAGACTCGCTCGTGCTTTTGGGTCCAATAAAGACGCGTATAGAAATGTACTGCGCTGATGGATCGGCGAGTTATGATTTATGGAAAAAAATTCTACGAGCACACATGGGCACACGTAATGTCGTTTTGTGTATTATTTCGTACGCTTATACTTGGCTAACCTTGGACGAATGTATGAAAACCTTTTTTTTTTTTTTTTTATTCTCGAGCCGACAATTGGGATATGAAACGAGTTTGGCTATCAACAAGTTTATGGAAGTTGAGTATGGATTTTTGTCTAGTAATTTTTGGGTTTGATGAAAAAATTTTGTGGAAATACAGCTGCGACTGTAAGAAATCAGAGAAATTGTTCACGATTTTTGGAGTTGACAGTGTTTAAAACAAAATATCACAAAAATATAGCTCAATTGTACATGATATTTACAATCAGGTGACTTCGCTTGAAATTAACGATAGGTCCGATGGAGAAAATTATCGTCTAATGCAAAAAACCTATAGTAAATAGTAAAGCACTTTTATAAGCTTAGTTGCAATTGAGAAATTTCCTTAACTTTTATAAAAAAAAAAAAAAAAAAAATTTAAGACATGTATCAACGTCTAAGTTTTGTTCATTGTTAATGCAGTTACGTCATTTATATCAACACCACATTTGCTGTCGATGTCCTTTGACACACACGGTTCTATGGTAAAGCTCGAGTTTTGATCTTTTCGGAAGCTTATTCACCTAAGTAATATTCGACCGAGTTACATGCCATACCTGACGGTAGATCATTACAAGACATTTAATAAAACAGGGTATTTTGAAAAGGTCACCCTTTTTTCAGGTACGCAACCCGTAAGAGTATATAAAAAAACACGATACCCAATTGAACCGATGCAACAATTACGCAATCCTCGATTGGATAACTCGTACGTGGAGGCACGGTCGCGCACCACTTCCTATCTTCCTGTCGATTACGCACCGCAGCGGCGTGTCTCTCCGAGCGCGCCATAAATGCGCTATAGAAAAAAAAAAAAAAAAAAGAAAAATCCTCCCAGCACCTAGTAGTGGAAAAAAAGCAGCGGCGAAATCAACCATAAAATTCTTTTCGCAGGCCCAAGTATGTATATTTCCCGCGCCGTGACTCATACGCGATAGGTTTTTTAAACCCGTGCCCGTGTGTACCGTATATACACATGTATACATACAAAAATACACATGAGAGATTCGCAACAGCCGGTTGGGATTCGCTTTCTTTCGCCTCGACCTTCTCTTTCTCTCTCCGCGTGTATTATCTGTACACTCGCGTGTATGTATACACAGGGCTTTCTCTCCACTGCCGGGGCAAGTCGTGCTGTACCGCGTACTTATGTGTTACTTTAGCAACAGCACAACAGACTTCCTCCTCGGCTCGACTATACGTGGACATAATATGGTGTGCAGACAGGAGGATTGGCTAATGTTTGACGGGAGGCTTTTTCCATACATCCTCGTCATTTTGGAGTTAATCCTCAACTTTTTTTTTCCAAACACGCAAGGATAAGATGATCGTTTCGAAATGGCAACTCTAGCGAGTTTCGGTAACTTTGTGGTATTTGCCAGGAAATTCGCGATAGTAGTGTTTTGTACCAATACTATTGGAAACCGGAAAATAGTTGAAAAGTACAAAGCGTCGGGTTTTCAATGTATAATATTTCCTTATCCTATAATCGGCTCAATTAAAGAAAACTCTGCATTAATTTCATTTGGGGTGATTTAAAAGCCAGCTACGGTTGAAACAAATCCATGTCCATTTACGCAACTTACGGATACGTATTTTTTAAATAATAGCATCGAGCACGAATTTTTCCCCGTTAATTATAATATATACCGTTGCACGATTAATTGATAATACATACACACACGCAAGCATAGAAAGTTGTTAATTTTTACGTAAGCGCGTTACATGCTCAACCATATAATATATACGTACGTGATTAGCATTGTATTAACGGTGCGTTGCGTAATAGCCGATGATTTCTTTATTCGAAAACAATCGGTACGAAAGTCCCCATCTTTGAAATGCTCGTGTAGAACCGAAACCACCGGGTTATACCAACACCGAGAAAGAAAGCTCTAGTGAAACGGAAATGATCGAAAAGCAAGCTCTTCCAAGCCTCGTGGGTGGAACATTCGAATGGCCGCAAGCACGACTTGGATGCCAAAACCAAGTCGCGGGCCCTCCGAGTGAGGAGAAAAAAGCCGAGCGTATATATATATACATATCAGCTCTGTATAGAGCGACTTTCACCGAACGAAGAGGAGCCTCCGGCTTGCACAACGCGTCTCGCTCGAGAGAGGCTCCTTTCGCGATTATAACGCTTTTAGGCGCCGATATACCAGCCGGGCCGATCGATTATACGCCGGTGTTGCGTAATATTTCGGTATACCCTCTGCTCGTCTGAATTTTAACGAGTCTTTTTTGCGCGGGTTTCTTTGCAACCGGCAAGTGGGCTTTGGTTCCTTGAGTTTTAATATCGCGTGTTCATTTTCACTTTCGCGGTAAATTCGGTTGAGTAACGCACCAGATGTGTATGTAATTATTACTGATTCGGTTCAATGTCTCCGTGTCGATCGAATCACCGGCACGTTTGACGCGCCCATTGGCAGTTATCACTCCAGTTGGTCGTGGTTTTTCCACAGAAGCTCTAATGGCCATCCCATGAGAGCATTATTATTCGCCACTACTAATTAACGTATAAAAGATACGGGAGTTTGGTTGGCGTGTATGATGGTATAAGAAATGACATGCTGTGCTTTTGCATTGCCCCTAAGTTGTTCAGTAAAGGGGATGTGGATTGTTTTTTGGTAAGGGTTGCTTGAAAGGAAAAACCATTTATTTTATCTCTCTTATGATATTTACTACTGATTAAAAAAAAAAAATGTCATATACAAAAATTTATTGTGTATTAATATTCAGTACACAAGTAACAACAGTAAAGTAGGCTTACTAAATAAAGAAAAAAAATGTCAACAGTTTTATGATTTTACGTGAATAATTTATGTTCGCATACAGCTTCCAAACTACAATTTTATAAATTCAAGTGCAAACGAACTTACGGAAAATCCAGCACTAGCTATGTACCTACGTTCGTTCGATGTATTTTATACATCGAATACAAAAGAAACAAATAACAATTCTTTTTTTCCTCGATGAAAAGAAAAAACGTCTTGGAATAATTTAAATCCTATCGTAACCATCGCGTTACTCACACGGTAAACAAATACCAATTTTGTCGAAAAATTTATTTTTTTCGAAAAATTACAAAGTACATATTATATTCTTGAAAGAAAAAGATACATATATGGCAATAATTTACGTATTTAAAAAAAACACGTAATCCCTCTACTCTTACAATTATTGTTAATATTCACATTCCTTAGATGATATAAATTAAATACATATTTAACGAAACGAGCAAGAGTCGTGATCGCGATAAGGAGTCAAAACGACGAACCGTCAACTAAACTTGCGACTAAACAATAATGATCAACTCATTACAACGAAGCTTAGTTTTGGCCAATACCATCCGTCGGGATAACAGATTTTCATTGAAAATTCTGAATTCAAAAAAAAAAAAAAAAAAGCTTCACTAATTTTATCAACGCAAATATTTACAATATCGAACGTTTGAAAAATATTGGACAAACTTTGATTCCCTACAGCCAAAGTATATAAACATTCTTTCGACGACTTATCCACGCTCAATACTCATTTACCGGCATGTATATATATATCTACAACTACAACCAGGTAAATTTACATAGTTTGGCAACGGTCATTAATCGAGAAAAACCACACCAACGGCGTTCCTCCTCCGAACGCTCGATTAGTCATATTTATATGTACACAACGTAAATATTATACGGTGATGACAATATTTTGCGTTTGATCGACTCGACTGCATATACATGTGTATTATTATTATTATTATGGTGTTTGAACGAGTGGGCGTTCGAATCATCTGAGAATGACGTTGTCGAAGGTGAGGTCCCGACTGTCCCTCTGGCCGTTGGATTTTTTGAAGGGGTTCCAAGGCAGGCGTCGAGCCACGTGAGCCGTGGTCACCGAACCGGCCGGACTCGGCTGACCCGACGACACCCCCGAGGAGCTGCTCGCCGAAACGCTACCCTTGTCGCGACCGTTTGATTTTATTGGTTTCTGCGAAAAATCGTTACAACCGTTGACAACAACGACGGTATCTCCAGTTAACAATGAGAAGAAAAAAAATCTCCCGCTTCGCTCACCTTCAGGTAATTTCTGTCCATCGGCGTGACGATTTTCATGCTTATCGAGTGACCCGACTGCTTGGTCAGTCTGACCACCTGCTCGTGCGACGCCCACTTGACGTCTTTGTCGCCGATGCTCACTATAAAGTCGCCCTCCTTCATACCAGCCAGCTGTAACACACGTGCATCAAAGTTGTTGTTTTTTTTTTTTTTCTATTCGTTTCAATTCTTTGTTGGAAAAAAAAAAAAAAAAATTCCTACGTCAGCCAGGGAGTTGTGCTCGACGCCGGCGACGATGACGGGCGCGTCGCCCCGAACGCTAAAGCCAAAGCCCTCGCCGTTGGGGCCGCGTTGTAGTTGCACGAGCCGCGGTGCCGTCCAGTGTCGCTTTGCCGAGAATATGGCGATGGGTCCGAGCCCGTGGAAGAGGTCGTCACCGCCGTGCTGGGTAAAGTCCGGGTGCGTCAGACTCAGCTGGAACTTGGTGGCTACTGCAAAATTCGAGGGTCTCAGTATATACGAGAGGAGAAAAAAAAGGATAGAGGGAAAATTACCGATGATGCTCGGGGCGTCGAGCAGCTCCCTGATGTCCTCGTCGTCGCCGGATCTTCCGTAGATGTCGAGGGTGGCGTCCTGGGCCCTCCTCAGAGCTTTGACGAGGGCTTGCTTGGCCTTGAGCTCGCGGCACATGCGCTGGAGCCGTTGGCTCTCCTCGTGGAGGACGAGGGCCTCCCTGACGTGGGCCCGGCCGAGGAGTTGCCGTTCGCTCTCGGATTTGGGCACCATGACCTCGAGTTGGGTCTTTGAGTCGCTTCGCTGGATCCTCTCGAGGATGACCCTGGTCTCCGGGCGGAAGTCGCTCATCGGGTGGTCGAGCAGACCCGCGGCCACGTGCCTGTGGGACACGGCCAGGTAGTGCTCGCGCTTCACCGACACGAGGGAGATCCACGACTCTGGGACGTAGTCGCGCACGGGCTCGCGGGATATGAGCGCGTGTACGTCGCTGTATACGGCCGACACCTGGAGAACACATCGGCACTCGTTATTATTTCACAGTACTTTTTTTTTTTTTTTTTTTTTTTCAGAAAAATGTTGTTCATTTGTATGGTATACCTGAGCGGCCTCTTGGGCGAGGTCCAGCGAGACGTCGATGTCCCTCTGCTCCCTCGATTGCAGCTCGAGTTTCTCGAATAGACACTCCCTCGCTTGTGCCTATGGAATTGAGCAGAGGATAGTAAACATCAGTAAATTACGCTGCTGAACTGATACGAAACACTGTACATGATGTTTGCGTCTTAGACGTTACTAATATTTTATAATGAAATGTTTTAAAAATCAGTTACTTTTCGTACAAAAGTATAAGGGAACTCACTATGGCTTTTAATTTATATTACCTGCTACAACGTCAAATCAAAATGCAAAAATCTTCATGCTACGACGCTTTACGATATTTCTCATTCGAAGCGTTGACGCGACATTGTATGGTTAAAATTACACGGTACTTTTTTTCTGGGATCTCGTAAAATGCCAGATGTACTCCTGTTAGACTGTTGCACCGACTTTTCGTCGATCGTACATAAATAATATGCTCTACTCATACATATTTTACAGAAAAAGGCAAAACACGCCAAAGTTGTATTACAAAGCGTATAAAAGATCAGAGCTCAATCGCGTGGCAATCACTTAAAATGGTTAAAAAAAATTGTTTACACAATGAAACACTTGTTGGGTACACGCAAAAACAAAAAACGACGAGAAATTCGTCCACGTACCAGCATGAGCTGCACCAGCATGTCGAGCATTTCGGGCCCAAGATCCATACTCGGGGCATTGGTGAAGTTCTCGTGTATGTACCTAAAGGTACCGGCCGACCTGAGAAAAGCGTCGACCGCCTGATCCAAGCCCCTCTCCGTCCTGCGGTCCTGCTTGGCAGCCACCTGGGTGTACAAGGCTCCCGCGTTGAAGAGTATCGAGGCCTTCTCGAAGGCCACCGTGCGCTGGCAGCTCGGCACTCCCGTCAACGAGTCGTACCACTCGAAGTAGATCCCGAGACTCCGGTCCGGCGGGAAGAAGCGCCTCTCGATGTAGTACAGCTGATTGTAGTAGCGCAACAGCAAGCTTATCCCGGCGGCGTCCCGCGTCGGCGTCCGCGTCGCCAACCTCGTCTCCATCAGCTCCGCTATCGACTCCTCGTAGTTCTCCCCGTCCTCGCTGTAATGCTCGAGGATGAAATCCTGAAACCATTTTTCAAGTCAACTTTCGTCGTTTTTTTTTTTTTTTTTCTTCCCCCGTATATAGGTGTTGCTATGGGGTGTCCCACTGTTAAATCGATACGTGTATAGTGCCCAAAGCCATAACCTGTTCACCACTCGAGCTGGGGGTGCATCGTTTGGAAAATTACTCGGGAGGATGCCACGGATAACGATGGAGCTGTTGCGCAAGCGCTCGGAGCACAACGAGGGTGAGATCTCGACCCTGGAGGAGTTGTCGCTCCACCAGGAGAACATCGAGCGGATCGAGCTGCTCAACCAGGCCTGCCGGGACTTGAAGATCCTGCTCCTCCAGTACAACCTCATATCGCGGATCGAGAACCTGCACAAGCTCAAGCGGCTCGAGTACCTCAACTTGGCGCTCAACAACATCGAGGTCGTCGAGAACCTCGAGGGTCTGGAGAGCCTCAGGAAGCTCGACCTCACCGTCAACTTCATCGGCGACCTGCGCGGCGTCAAGACCCTCAGGTGAGCAGAGTAACCTACAACGCGTGTACTTTGGTTTCTTTCTTCTTCATGCCTGGCTGTGTCGTGGTGGCACAGGCACAACGAGCACCTCGAGCAGCTCATCCTCTCGGGCAACCCCTGCTGCGACTACGAGGGCTACCGGGACTACGTGATAGCGACGCTGCCGCAGATACGCGAACTCGACATGGCGACGATCGAGCGCTCGGAGCGCATCGGGGCGCTGCAGAGGTACGCCGAGGCCGAGGGCGACGTCATACGCGCCTACCGGAACTACTCCAGGTTCAGGGAGACGCAGAAGGTCCAGTTTCGCGAGAGGCAGCGCTGCAACGCCACCATCACCGAAGTCCTCGATGACGAGAAGGTAAAGAGTCACGGTTGGGCAGCTTGATCATGGACACTTTAGGAAGTTGGTTCTTTGAAGGGGGTCAAGGAAGGGGATGTCGAGGACGCGAAGTTTTGGAGCGCCCCCAGTTACCACACGCCCGAGGACCGGGTGGCCATTGCCCGGAAAACTATGGAGCAGGGGGAACGGCGCGAGAACAAGCACTCGGATAAGCGGCCGGATAAGTACGTGCCAAAGTTGTTCAGTCCCGAGGGGAAGCCCTACAACATCAACCAGCCGAAAATCGGGTTCAGACTCAACGACGAGGACGACCGCGACAACGTGACGCTGGAGGTCGCCCTGTACAGGTAACCAACGATCAAATGTTGGGTCGACTCGAGATGATGGAGGTGCAACGATTTCCAGACACCTCGACACGGCCCTGGTCGACGTGGACGTGCAGCCCTGGTACGTGCGAGTGACGATAAAGGGCAAGATTCTCCAGCTGGTGCTGCCGTGCGAGGTGGCCACGGACAGCAGTGTGGTTCAGCGCAACGTCACCACGGGCGCTCTGCTGTTGACGATGCCGAGGATCGCTAAGCTGGACCGGCTAGCCGTGCCCCCGGCCAAGCCGAGACAGAGGTGCGAGCGGAGCGTCAGGGCGGCGCCGGAGGTGTCTAAGCGCGAGTTTTTGGAAATCGGACCGCCTCGGGAGGAGCTGGACGACTTGTTGCGGATCGTCGGGAAGAGGAAAACCCACTCGGTCGAGCCGGTCCACGATAATTTCGTGGATGACCCGAGCGTACCGCCGTTGGAGTGAAGGTGCAATCAATTTTTGTGGCTCACATGTACTTACTTTGAAGGGATCTCGGAAGTCGATGTCCTTCGTCTCCTTGAGTCCCAGAGGGATGAGCGGCATGGATACTTCATCGCTGCAACGACAGTTATTTTTATTGTAATATATACAACACGTACAAATAAATAATACAAACACGAAAAAATGAATCGCAAAACATTGCGGGGTACCATTACTTACGCCTCCCAAAAGTATATCTATACATTGTATCTATATCTAGTGGCGGTTCAAGCGAAGGCATGAAAAACCACGCCTGCCAAAGGGTGAAAGAAGAACCGTAAGCCCATCGAGCTACTTCCGAAAGAAGCTACTTTCTCTCGTAACCCGCGCGCTGCATGTACTTACGCCCATAAAGCTTTGCCTCGACAATGCCCGGGAGAGAAGCGGCCGGTCGTCGCCAAAGCATCGGGAGGATTTATCGGCCCATAAATCGGCGCGGCTGTGGTTCGCTCGCCAATATAAGATCTTTGCCGAGCTGCCTTACCAGATGCGCGGCAAAAGATGCCGAGTAAGGGAGGGCAGAGAGCGCGGGTATAACGTAGCGTTTACGCGAGCGGTAAATCTTTGTCCTTCGGGGCATGTGTAGCAGTATAGAGGTGATGTCCGTTAGTCGTGTCCTTTTACCGTGTGTACACCGTCACCACAGCTGATGTGCATGCCATTACACGAGCTACGGGGTTTATTACAAGGTATTTTCGGTACGGTATGGACGGAAGCGACGTCTTCATTGTGTGTACTATCACTTTTTGTGGGAATCCCCGGGTTACTTGCATTCGGGGCTCACCGGTTTTTTTGTTCCCACGTGCGGTATCGCTCCGGATTCGAGAAACACTTTTGGAAATCCTTTGTTCGAAAAGAGCGAAAGAGACTCCGTGATTCTTGCTTTGAGGAAAACTTACGGGGTGCAAAAAGGAGGAAATTCCCGATGACGTGGGGAGGAAAAAAAAAAAGAAAAAATCGGCAGAAGGTACCGTTGTACTGCTGCATTTTGTTTTCGTTTCAGTCATTCCTCTGTGTATATATTATGTACGCGCGCGTGCCGGTGTCGCCGCATTCTGCGCGCCACAGAGAGAGGCTCAATTTCGCGTTATCGCACGGTACGATCTTTAGCCGTTTACTTGTATACGTATTATGTCGCCGAGCCGCGTGTGAATTTTTTGGTTTTAGAAAAAATATTCTCGACGGGGATGGAAATATGCGACGTTAATTAAAAGATTCTTGGGGTTTTTCGAAAAATGTTTTTCAACCCTTCCCTGTAGTTTTTTTTTTTTTTCATAAATAACACGCTCGAGAAATGGCACGATTCGGCACTTTCACGCCTCCAAATAGAGAAGAAGCGGTAGCACCGACAACACGCACCTATATTTATGTATGATCTTTGTGCGCTGCGCCGCTTTGCGATAATAATAAATAATCGGAGATGAGATTCTTATCCGTGGCAATTCTAATGCCATTAAGAAAAAAAAATCAGAAAAGGCACTTCCACTGTACTAATCGCGTTTCGCTACACCACCGAGCGTAATATCCCTGCCATTAGGAGAAGTTGAATTATCGTTATGAGGATAATCATTGCCACGACGATAGGGATCGGTATGTATATATATTATGTACCTACATGAGTATTATGATCGAGTAGCTGGGCGGGCGTGTACGTATACTGCGTTACCATCGCGGGTGGAACTCGCGTATACAACAACAACAATAATAATTTATCGCGTGCCAACCGGTAAAAATGCCGCGATTTCGCTCTTTATTTCCTTTTCGTGGTTTATTATCCCCGTGGCATTGAATAAGTGATACAGTTTAGGAAAGGCTGATTTGAGAACGCCTGTAATTACCGATGTATCTACCGCGCAAAATCGGTCCAATGTATACGCTCCTCCAAGTCATTACTCGAATCGACGCAAACATCATTTTCCAAGGAGGGGTACGTATGAAAATTGTAAAAAAAAAAAATTTCGCTCACAACCTACGTGATGTGCCCTTCATCGTTTGTATTGTACACCTTCGCGGGAGTACATTGTATACCCGTTGCCACGGGATTAGTCATCATAATTTTCTTCGAGGCGCGCGTGCGGGTAAACGTCACAGGTGGGGAGCAACTAAAGAAGGGAATAAAACCGTACACATACTGCGCACAAACAGATTCGGAGGCTTCCCACCGTCATCATAAATAAAATGTACCTATACGTACGAGACATCGTATATATATATACGCATGTGTATAGAAGCAAAGCGGCGTTACAGTTAAAAACGGCGCGTCTCACGCGATTTATGAACCGTGCGGTGATGGCGAACACCTATACATATTATTACACGGCAACGACTTCTCGTATGTACATGTATAAACGGTGTACCTGCAATGTGCAATGTGTGTGTACTTGGCAGGCAAAAATATATTATAAAAAAAAAATANGAGGTGATGCTCTTGGATTACTAAGTAGTTTTCGTGCAACTCATCGTGCTTTTTTTTCCCTTCGTCTTACAGTACTAGTATATTATATTATATATATACCCTATTATAATACCCACAGTAGTACCAATCAACGAATGCTATAGATGTATCTTGTTACGTTCAGTTCAGTATTGCGTGTATGCATACCTATATTCTACCATGTATGTTCATGTACATGCATTGTAAATACGAGAAGGTGTACGCGGTCATGTTTTAGGATACAAACATAAAAAGGTGTACATGTATACTGCACCCAAACGCGAGCGGATCTTCATCTTATAATACATACATATGTGTATAAATATTGTTACGCGCACTGTTTGTTTGTAACGGGCGATTCGCGCGTGCGAGCTCGATGATTTTATTTTATATATTATATATTACCATTGTGCGCTTGTGTACGCGATAGTGCACTCGGGGATATATGCGCGTCTTCTTGCTTGAGGGGTTTTTGGTGCTCAGGTATCCGTAAAAATGATTCCTTTTTATTTATGAATTTTTTTTGTATTTCCCTCGTCTACTTTTTAATGAAAAATTTCACCACTGCGTCAACGTAAAATTTTGCCCAACACACACACACAATTTACCACTGGTACGTACATTTGGTGCATAAGGATACGAGTTAAAAATTTTTTATACCGAAATAATTGATAATCCATTGGTTTTTAAACTACATTGTAGGTTTTTCATCACTTTTTTTTATACAACACTTCTAATACAATAGACGAAATCTTTTGATAGCTGTATAAAACTAAAAAAAAAAAAAAAAAATAAGCGAACCAAAAGTGGGGGTGAGTTCTACATGCCATGTATATTTTGTATACCCATGTGTTAACTCTCAGCAAATCGAGCCCGCGCGCCAGTTGTAAAACTCGATCGCGGATCAATCATAAAAATTGCAACGAATCTCGTGCACGAATGGACATGTATACACATATAATAATATACACAAGGGACCATCGCGATCGGAGTGCCGAGTATATAGGTATACATTTATGTAGATACTATACCGAGGGGTAGGTATTACAAGTGCAAACCTACGTATTATATAGGTATATGTGCGCGTTCTCCAATTTGCTGGTATTAGATTATAATATGATACACCGGGAGGAAGCAGAGCATCGCAACTCGCAACGAAACTATAAATGTGTATATTATGCACGCAGACAGAGAAATAAACGAATTTATATATATATGTGTGTGTACACCAAGAGGGAGAGAGAAAAACGTCACGCATCGCTGAAACCTCTCCGGGGCCCCGTTCTTTCTATCGCGCGTTTGCGTTATGTTACCTGTATACATATATACTGTGCATCAAGTGCACCTGTATATTATATAGTATACGTTGGTGCATGAGAGAGCCCCCGCATTGATATGGATTGGGCACGCTTTACCGTCTGAGGTGTTTACACGTGTATACATTATAATATTATATATTATATATACTTAGTTACCTATGCATCTGCAGATCCATCTTTATAGCTTATATATGTATATGTATATATATTTATAATACACCAATATAATATATATTTTGAAATGGGTAACGAGAATCATGATTAACCAAGTCTATACGGAGCTCCGACCATTACCCGCTTTTGCCATACTTTTTTTTGTTGCTACTGCTGTGTTTGTTGTAATTATTATTATTTTAAAACGGGACTCCTCCCCCCCCCCCCCTTCAACACCTGCACGCGCTCGAGGCACACTCGCAGACACGTATACACATGGGACAGATGAGTTGAGTTTTCATTAATTATTTTTTGATATATTTTTCGCGCCGCTCATCGCCGTAAAACAAGCGGCATTTACCCGTGTTGATGTTTCATACGGCGCGAAAGCTCGTTATTAATCGACGTACGCGTTATACGTATATATAATTGGTCGCGGAGACGGATTACAGGTTTTCTATAATTGATTCCGAGCTGAGCTTAGATGTGGCGGGACGAGGTGCTGATTAGTTGACGCCCTCGTTGCCGCGCGTTTTATGTAATACCTATACGGTTGCTCCTCGATTGAATATCTTATACGTGGGCTAATTGGGGGGGGAGAAGGTTAAACGTTGCTTTTTTTTTTTTTTTTTATAGCTGTAAAAACTGTAAGCAAGAGTTTTTTTTTTTTTNTTCAACTATTATTTAATAAAAAGAAAAATTTTTTATGCTCCACAGAAATAAATTAATATAACGAAAAAATCTCCCACTGTCAATCGTGGGATGAATCCCACTTTGACCCACACCGATGAAGCGATCGCGCACACTCGAAGCAATTTGTCCCCGACGCTTGGTCCAATTTTTTCTTCACACCTACTGGCACACGCATGTTTATTCACATGTATTTAGCGAGGGACTGATTTTATCGCTAGTGTATACACTCACACGTGAAAATCGTCACGACTTTCTAAGTTTCTCGCCCTCCTTCGTCATACAGAGCTCTTGACAAACGGCCTCCGCTTCACACCGCTCTTGTGATTTACGACGAGGTAGCGCAAAGTTTGTAAACTTTCGAGGCGCCCTAATTGCGTCAAAATCGCTGTTGCTCGCGTGCATCTTATGCATAACGTCATTCGTCGCGACTAGGTTAATCAAATTCATTTTCCACCTCCATGCGCACCATGACGCCCGTGATCCACTGAGCTACAAATTTTTGCAAAACTCGAGAAATCCACATGAGCACGGGCCCAAAAGAAAGCTCGAAAAACAAGCAAACAACCTATATATCCCGGAAACGTCAGCGGGCGCGCACCGTTAAAACAACCGATCCCGAAAAAAAAAAAAGGTCCATCTGATACCGATACCCCCATTCTGTCACCGAAGCTGCACAAACTTCCCATCCACGGGCCTAATCAGTTAATTAGATAATCACTCGCGCGTCCGGTCTGCGCGTGCAGCATATCCTCTTACCCCGATGCGTCTCCTGGAATGCTCGGACGAACCGGTCGCTGTCGTCGGTGCCTCATCACTACCGATCCGCGTCTCCTCGGCCGCTCCGATGTTGCTTCTTTCCGTCGAGGAGCTGCTGCTCGGCGAGGAAGACGAGGACGACGACGCGGAGGAGGAGGAGGTGCAAGAGGACGAGGATAAGGCTGGGGCCGCGTGGCTCTTTGGCAGCGGCGTCTGATGGTGCACCCACTTCAACATGCTCGACGCATCCTCGTGGCTGTTCCTTTTTACTTTGGCTCCGAGACGCAGTGGTCGGTTTAATTAATACAATTACGTTACCTGTGGTCACAGAGTTCGTGTTTACACGAGATGCTACACATGTAAATACGGTTAAGTTTATTGCAACGCACGGCTGGTGGCTGTCGTTGGAGTGATGTATGGCTCGCGTATCTATATTCTCCCCAGGATTGTTTCATTGTCGCGCGATGGCACTACTGCGATTTTGAGGAATCTCGTCTTCTGGTGCGTTTTTTTTTCACCGATTTAATTTTAATTACTCGCGCATTGATGGGAGTATCGATGAAAATCAGCGCGTGGTATCCGCGTGCCTCGCGAGCTCGGACGGTGGATAAGGGTTATTCAATGGCAAAATGGCTCTGGATAAGAGAGGCTCCCCCCCCGCTCGTTTGTTTGCCAATCTCCTGCACTTTTTCTTCTTCTTCTTCTTTTTGCTTCGGCTACTTGTCCGTGTGTTTGTCAGAGCTGTACACGGAGTAAAACGATATTATATACTGGCCGTTGGGATCTCTCTCTCTCTCTCTCTCTCTTTCTACTCGCTGGGAAGTCGTTTGGCGTGCAAATGGCTTTTCTGTACTCGCGTACACAAGTTTAACTTATCTAATGATGCATTTTTATCGTCCTACATTATGCAGTGGTGGATGCGCGTGGCGTTTACATCGCGATCGCGAGGCTAGATTTTCAGAGCCTCGGTCGTACACGTGTTTTTGCTACGCGATGGTTCGTTGGGTACGAGGTTACGGTTGTATTTTTATTGTTGCGTGTGATTTATCGAATAGGGAGAATCGCGTCGAGATTTTTCAAATATATTACGTACTTTTGTTATCGTTTTTTTTGTCTCGATTCATCATTATAAGCACCAAAAGTTGAGTTCGATTCATACTGTCAGATTTTGTTTAAATATACATTTTTGGGCAACTACCATCTCTTTCGTAAACGGTAAAATTATCTGTCGAGCGATTCCCCAAAATCCATTGTTAAGCACACCAGAAGAAAGCTACCAAACCCACACGCGTATGTACAACACAAAGAGTCCATTGTACCCCTCGATTGTACAATCATACGTATAGAAAAAAGAGAGTCCATCCTGCGTACAGAAACCCCACAAAACCAAACTAAAAACAGCGACCCACATCGAACAAATAGAAAAAAAAAAAAAAAAGAGGATCCCTCGTACTTCCGTAACGGCACATCGGTGCTATCCCAGCATCATCCGATTAAAATCGAAACCCAATGCCACAACGCGAGCCACACTACGTGCTCTCCGATTGTCCATTTAGTACTATCGTTTTGCGAGGTAGAAAGCGTTGCGAGAGAAAGGTTTGATCAAACAACGCATCGGTGCAACTACCTATATATGTATCACTGCGACGATGATGCCTACACACTGGGTTGGTCATTCCATGTTGACCAGCAAATTTTTTCACGCGCTCTCGTACAATACACATGCATCCGATGTTACAATATATACATGTATTTAAAATAGTTACTCATCGAATATGGACACGTATATATTATACATACCGTTAACAATAGTGTATACATTAATGTTATTGAGTCGTGCCAAGTCGGCGCTACGCTTGTCCAACGGAGCTATCGATTACCGTAGCGCATATATATTTATATATATATGGGTATAAACACATAATTTATAATAATGTATAACATCACATGCATCGCACGCGCGAGCTCTCCATTATACGTGATACGGCTTCCTCTGCCCCGTTTGTCCGATTAATCGCAGCGATAAACAAGATCAAAACTCAATCGTGCGGAGAGGTACAACGCGTACGTGCCTCCCTTGTGTGTGTGGGCAGTATTACCTTGTAAGCCCATAATAACATCGCGTATATATATATATATATATACATACCAGCGTATACGGTGAATCAACGAAACAGTGGAAGCTTGGGTAGGTGCATTACAGGTGGACCCGCGGCCCCTTTTTACGCGCTCGTAAAGGTAGCCTACATTAAAATACACGCGGAATTCGCACTCGTCACTATATTAGGCGCATATATATATATATATATATATATATATATATACTGCATATAGCCATGTCCGGTGCAGTGTAATAACAACGTGCAATTTGCGCACTGTCGCGTATAGTGGGTATACATACATAAGTACACATGAGAGTTTTTTTTTTTTTTCGATTGCCGAATCGAACGTGCGAGTCACGCCTGAAAATAAGAATTAGTTTTTCGGAGTTAATCATTAAAGAGTCGCTCCCGAGTGATTTGTCACCTAGTGCGCTGTTCACCCAAAAGAGAGAGAAAAGATTCCTTTTTCAATTTGGTACCGATACTCGAGTACGCCGTTTCTTTTTCACTTTTGTCCAATTGTACGGGCAGTCGCGACTCTTTTCGAGTGTGAATAAATTCACGGGCCATAAACGCCGATTAGTGTGTTTCTCGGCCGAGCAAACGATGAAAGACCAAACTGTTGGAACACGCGTAAAATTACACCCCTGGGGTCATTACCGATCGAGGATTAGGCTCGGGGAAGAGTATACAGCTTCATAAATCAAATCCGCAAGTTTGCGTTGCGGCAAAATAAGCAATGAAGCCGAGAGAGAGACCATTCCCACGAGGAGGATGAGCGATCGATGAGAGGAGACGCTTCGGGAAGTAAACGTGGGGCACCGATCGACGAGCTTGTTACGATACGTTGAGAGCCTATGACGGGAAAATCGCTTTTTAATCGACCTGGCCATTTGCGCTTTTACGGGGGGGGGGGGGGTATTGGGATACGGCAATATTTCGAGGGGATGTTCTCCGGAGGTGTATACAAGCTGCAAGGTCCATCTCACGAGTGGATCATGCGTTTTAACGACAGCCCATTTGCAGGGGCCCCCACCGCTAATGCACTCGTATTATACATTATTACTCTCGTCTCGTGTGTATAAATATACCTATCTTATTTTTTGGGTTCTAATGTTTTTGCTTTCCAAGCTCTTGATGTATGAAAACTGCGTTTATTTTATTGGTAAACAGCTGATTTCATTTGCTCCAATAAACGCGCGATTATAGGCAAGTCGAAAGGGAAGCGAGATTTACATTATACCAACGTGGTATCTGTCCACGTTTCGTGGGAATCAAAAACAGACCAATTGCAGAGAAAGAGACAAAAAAAAACCACGCGCGTATCAAAAGGGACTTGATATCCAATTACTCCGAAGGCTCCTTGTGCGTCGCACCGTGGGTATAAGTGCAGTGTAATATCCTAAGCTGGCGTTGCGCAACCCTTCCGTTTCTCCGGAGGCACATCCTCGGAAAACGAGAGAAAAATGTTTTTTTTTTTTTTCCCTCCCCTACCTAAGCGGTAGATTGAAAGAGTAAGTTTTCCTCCGTGTGTTATATACATACATACATACGCACATGCGTCATGTGTACTTATGTATGTATACCCACTATACGCGACAGTGCGCAAATTGCACGTTGTTATTACACTGCACCGGACATGGCTATATGCAGTATATATATATANTGTACTTGGCAGGCAAAAATATATTATAAAAAAAAAAATAATGAAAAAAAATTCTCGTAAAGCATCCCATCAACAGCCCGAATGTCGTCGAGTTGCGCAACAAAACGAACAATTCGCGATGTGCACTCAATAGATATACGTAAGCTGTATGCAGAAGAAAGCCCCGCAACGTTTCTCGTCGTTAGAGGAAATACACCGAGAGAACGAGGTCCCATTAGGGAGGACATTCTACGGGTTGGGGGGCGCTGACCCTTTGACCACCACCACCACCGCAATAGTATCATCGGTGCGCGATAGATCGAAGCTCGAGATATAGGCGTTTGTACGGCGTAAATAAAGTATACGTATGTGTAGGTGATGCTCCGGGAGAAGAAAGCGGAAGGATGGTGCATTTATACAAGAGCCGATTCACGGCTCGCGGTTGCGTCACGACTCGCCCGCGACCTTGCCATTGCGCACACGGTTTGTGGACGTACACGACTCACCCCCTCCCCCTTTGTTTTGTTACGCGTGTATACCTGGGCGAGGTCGTTGTACGGTTTTGCGATATACGCGCGCAAGCGATGCCGTTCGAGATGTTTTTTTTTTTTTTTTCTTACTTTGTGTCATTCTGATAGGCCTCGACGCAGCTGTTGAGCTCCGCGAGCTGTTCCTTGAGCAGCTGCAAGTTCGAGTTGACGAAGCTCAATTCCAGGGCCACGGTCTCTTTGAGCTTGCGGTTCGTCGTCGCCCTGAAACGAGCGCAAGATTTAACATTATATGACTGATAAATACACTCGTGTGTATATTACATGCACGGGCGTACTTGTATAGGTTCTCGGCGCCAGCTCTGAGTCGCAGCTCCTTGTTGATCTCCTGGTTGAGCTTGCTCCTCTTGTTCTGAAGTTTGCCCCTGCAAGTGGCGACTCGTGGGTCCGAACCCTGCAAGGACAGCCAAGTATGTCTTATCAGTACACAAGGATTTAATATATGGATTGAAAAAAATAATTTTTAATACCATGAACAATATGAACATGATTTATACATACGTAAGTATGGGGAGTGTTCATGCATGGGTCTGTGCAACCGATTCGTTGCGACGAAATACGCACTTTGGAAAATAAATAGTTGCCCTACATTTCGCGCAACGAGTGCTTTACACGTGTTGCAGTACTTTTACAATTCAACGCGAGCTGTACGACGTAATCCAATTTCGACACGCTTCGGTATACTATATATGTAAACTCTACTGCACCGTACTACACGCATCAGTAAATCCAAACAACTGTTCTACCACGAGGTAGTAAAAAAAAAAAAAAAAAAAAAAAAGGTAAACTTTCGATTCTATACTGTTGTAGATGTTGTGCTTTGATTTCCATCGATGCGCACCGCAAGAGGAAGAAACCCGAAATCCCCCGCTATCCGGGACGTCTTTCTCTTTCTTCCCTTTAAACGTGTTAGCTTGTAAAAACTTTCTGAATTCATACTACACACAAGTGCATGTTGATTAATACTGAGTACATGTATATACTCACAGGAGACCCGGTCGACCGATTTCATACACTTACGAGCGATTGTCTCTACCTGTAAGTCGTGCAAACACTGCTGCATTTCATATAAATGTATATTAAGACCCTTGTACAGTACGCGAATGACAAAATATAAAATTGCGCTCGAAACCGGTTGCTCCGCCCAAGAGAGATTGTATACTTTGAAGAAAATTCACGAGGGAAAACACTTATCTACGACATAATATATCATATTTACTTTGCATTAAAAAATAACTCACGTCCCTTCGATTTTTCACTACTAGTTTATGAATTTACATTCGAGGACTGCGAGCGGTAGATGCTTTTAATTAGAAGACTATTGATCAAGAGTGGGCGCGAAAATCGAGCTGTGCTCGTTATAGAAATCTATACGCGTTACTTGCACTCGACGGCCTAGATTAAAGTGAAATATCGACGCTGTCTGAGCTGCCTCGTATCACGTTTCTTGCATCATTTTTTTTTTTTTTTTTTTTTTTTTCATTACAAACACTCTGCGACTCCTGTGTATTACGGGATTTAGAGTAGCAAATCGAAAAAGTTCAAGTGCACTGTGAAATGATAATTTTTTAAGACGCACTTTTACGGTGCGGTTGAAATTTTGATCTCGGGTGTTATATAGTGTATAGGGAAAAATGCTGAGGTATAGGTGTACCCTTGGATTCTGCAGCCAGTTAATTTTTACCAATGAAATGCAAATTTATATTATCTACACTGTAAATAATATATGAATTTGTGCGTATAATTTTTAAAAGATTTTTGCAGCCCACAACTGTTTTTCGATGAGCAAATCGACTCCGCACCAGAAATCTTCCAACTATAACTGTGTATCCGTTTTAGTGGCAATGAATACTTTTATGTTTAATTAAATAATAACGGTATAGGGTAGAGTGTGACTTTTTTTCCATCAATTAGAGCCACAAGTGACGCTTTATTTTTTTATACACATGTATACGCCAGAAGACGGTGAGGACATTATCCGGTTATATTGCCACCTTTTTATTTCGCGTGTAAACTTATGCACGGACGATATTTTGCCCCATTCAAGTTGACAGATAAAAATACTCTCTTAACCTTTCCTCCGCTCTTTCCTCAGGTATTCTTGCATCAGAAGATAATTAATACATTTATTACACTTAAGTTTTCATTAATACATTCAAGTTTTTTTAAGGGTACATATCGATGTGAAAATTCCACTAATGTTGCCCCTGTAAAACTTGCTTAATTAACGATTTTTTTAGTAAATATAAATCACTGATTAAAAATACGTATTTTGCCGTTAAATGTTCTGGATAAGGCAGTAACTATCATTCCTTCTCTTCAGTGAAGTATGTGATTTGCAATTATGGAGCAACATAGTATTAAATTCAAATGTTTTAAATTGAAAGAAAGTGTAAGATATATTCCATGAATAACAAAAAGATCAAACACAAGTTTAGATACAATCCATTTATTTAATTATTGGAAGAATTATAATTTTACACTTATTTATTAAATGTCTGAAAAATGAAGTGATAGTTAAAGAATTAGCTTTTAATATATTTATTTCAGATATTAGTAGACGATGCACTGGCAGTTTGATTTGTATGCCATTTTTTTGTTCCACCATCCTGGAAGCTGAATAAGACGCTCATATTTTGCGACACAACGGCCCTCTGTTGCGTTTACTGCTTTGCATTCCCTGTCACACGAATCTGCATCGTCTTTGGTACATTGCGGGTTATTACTAAGTACTGCAATCAAAAGGAGGCAGAATTTTACGTTACAGTCAATTTCTCATTATGACTTTTTCAAAAATATTTTCTTGATAGCTTTATGTTTAAGAAAGTATGACGAAACAAGTAACCTTGTCGAAATATTGAGCGAAAAAAAGGTACGTACCACCGATAACTAGTATACTCGCTATTAGAATCAAAGCTATGTAAATATTTATTTTGGAAGTAGCAGCCATTTTCTTGTACTGAACGAGTCACTTTAATTCTTCTTGTTGTTTAGCTAACAAACTAAATGCGTAAGATTTAAACTCGCAATATATACTCATGTTCAGGTCATCTTTATCGAGTTCGCTATTATTAGAAAGTTGAAGTAAACAACCGAGATTTGCAAATTGTTCATTGAATTTACTATTTTTAAGCATTAAGTCATCTTTTTATGAATATTTGATCGACTAATAACCAATAACCTAGTCATACCGAAAAAAAAACTACTGATGTCTTCTATAGAAAATTTCGGGATAGTAAAAAATTTACTCTGTCGAATAATCTTCCAGTAGCATTTGTAATAACATTTAAGGTCAAAACACCGTATCACTACAAATTCTTGAATGTATCTACGACTTGGTGGATAGGTAAAAGAAACAGCTTGTTCAATTTTGAGTTGAAAAAAAAAAACTTAGTAATAACCCGCAATGAACCGTAGACGATATGCAAAATGTGACATGGAATACATTTTGCAGTTGCTCTCGACATTATACAGTAGCAAATTTAAAGTTAATATTGTGTTGTTTTATGAATGCAAATTATATATTTCACGAAGAGAAGGAGTGATAGTTACTGCCTTATCTAGAATACAGCCCAATTACATTTTTTTAATCAGGGATTTATATACACAAAAAATTAGTATTATACAAGTTTGGCACGAACAAAATTACTGGAATTTTTAAGAAGCTTTTTTTCGTGAAAATTTGCGAGTGACCAATCTCGCCAAAGTGTAATTTACTACCAATAGTTTACTGCACTCTGCAATGCATTTTCGATTTTAACAATTAGATGATGAGCATATTTTTTTATAATGTAACTATTTTTTTTTATTCTAAGCATTTTCTCGCTATCTTCTTGATAAATAAATATCTTTTTAAATAGCAATTAAAACGCGATGATAGTTGACCTGGTGAATTATCTTTTGTACGACATCGAAGTTCATTGATTCCGGCAACAATGACCATGCAAGCATTTTTAACACTGACACACTGACTATATACGTCTATAATAAGTCAAACACAGAACGCGTGCACTTGTCACTGCAGGAAAATATTTTTAATTCAAACTTTGGCTTTCAAGCGCTTATTCTCACTTGAAACGACCAACGACCTTGACTCTCTCCCTTTCCTCCTTCGCGCCTCTTTTTCTTGGGTCTTATTTTTTTACACTTCTTGGCGCAAGTAAAGGTGTATACGTACAACTGCGCCATAATTTCGACGAGAGCGAAGTGTATATATGTTTATGTACGTAGAAAATAAGTGCAGCGCCACTTGGAAAATGAAAAATAAAAATATTAGTATAAGTACGAGCGAAATTAAAGTCGCGGAGCCGTGGCTGGTGTTGCCACAAAGTCCATAGTGAGATGAAACAGTCTGTACTCTAGCGAACAAGTGCAAAAAGCCGCGTAATAATAATCCACGGGACGAAGAGACTAGACGGTAATAATGAATGCGCTGGTGTCCATAGGTTTAGTCTAAGCGCTGGTGATGGCCAAGACGTTTTTTATTTCATTACTTTAGATTTTTCGCGGCACATTTGCACCTTTCCTCTCCTCCTCTTTCTTCTCGTTTCTTTTCAGTAGCTGATCTCACGAGTGACGGGAAAAAATGCCAGTCACAGTGACGGGCTACTATTGTCTTTAGCTTTGTATGTACCAGTGGTATATACTTTGTTATGCACATTTGAAATAGATTAAACACATTTACATTTTTTTCACTCTTGAACATTTAAAATTTTTGTATAGTAAAATTTTTTTTTCNCCGTGTGTTATATACATACATACATACGCACATGCGTCATGTGTACTTATGTATGTATACCCACTATACGCGACAGTGCGCAAATTGCACGTTGTTATTACACTGCACCGGACATGGCTATATGCAGTATATATATATATATATATATAAAGCTCCGCTGTCGCAATTAAACTCACCGAGTCGTTAATGAAAAATCTCGGACGCTCCGGAGGTTTCGAGGATTATACACCGCGGCACGCGAGTTATTTTGTTTGTCTCTACCCTTTTTCGCGATGACTATTATAACGTATCGCCTGTTTTTTGGTGTGATCTCTGTTTTTTATTTTTTGGCCATGGATTCTATGTATATTTTTTTTTTTTTTTCACACGCCCGCCTTTATTGTTCGAGGTGTTTTTGTGATTCGTGAAATCATCAGCTGGCCGATAAAATCGCTCTTATTTTCGTGGGAGTTTCCATGTTTTTCTGTTTTTTTTTTTTTTTTATCGTTTTTTTTGTTTTGACCGTATAAAACGACGAAACGAAGCATCCTGGGACACGTATTGGCTTATTTGGCCAAAGCAACTCCGATAAATTTCCCAACCTCCATACATCACCCCGTAGCCCAATAAGATCGAGGTGAAAATAATGTAAAACCTTCATAATTAGCCTTTTCGAA